AAGCTTCGCTCTCTAGGGTGCTTTCTTTTCGTGGTCACAAAGCGTGTAACATATGCTTTTATCTAAATTAAACAGTGTCGGTGCGATTTTCATTTCCTGTCGCTGAAGCTGCCGATGTTATCAGTGACAGGATAACGCGAAATGCTAAGGGCTGGAGAAGGTTTTCCCTCCGACGTTTTCCCTAACCACTTGCACCCCTTTTTCGTCGTGTGCTCATGACTCCCACTAAAATCTCGTTGCTATCTCCATCTTCTTTTCTCTTTTTCATCCTTGCGTTCCACCCACTGACTATTCATTCTTCGTGCTCACAATCTCTCCATTTTCCCTTTGCAATTCCTTTCCTTTCTTGGTCCTTGAGCCTCAAGCTACAACATGTTCTTAATGGCTGTACCTCGAACCCTGTGTATGTTCATTTTTTTTTTAACTTCAAGATTATGCTAGCTTTACCGCACGCGTATGACGCGTAAGCTGCTTTATGTATGTATAATTTTGCATAAGATGAAGGTGAGGTTCTCAGTGACTATGGTATTATTTTATCATTAGTAAATTATTTTTATCGGAGCTTGTCATTTATTGCAGTTAATCATTTCGAAAAATTATTGTTATTCATAAGAAAAAAAGATAATTAATATTCATACTCAACAACTCGACACACCATTGAATCTTTTTGTAAAATACATTTATCAGAAAATTCTTTTATTCTTAACTTAAAGTGTTATTATTTATATTTATACAAACATGAATAGAATAGAAAAAATTTTATGACTATAGTACTGTTATTTATTATTACTTAAATAAAAAAATCTGATTTAACAATAATGTTTTAAATTGTAAATCTAATTATAAGATCTTACAAATGTTTGACTTTGAAGGTAATTTATTATCTATTGATTATATTTTCTTATCTATAAATTATATGTTTTTTGAAAATTATTTGTTATTTATTTTTTATGTCAAATTATTACTTATATTTATAAAGACATAAATAAAGTAAGAAAGAGAAAAAAGAATGTCTATTGGAAAATAAATGTTCTATCAGTTATGATTTTTTTGTAAACTATTGATTGCCACTTTTAGTGCATTGATCATGAATCAGAGCTTTTTGCGGCTTCTATAGCTATATAGCTGTCTAGACAACCCTTGCATATCATTTGATATTATAGTGAAAGAAAGCAAAAACTCTCAAAGATGGAACAGCTCACAGCTCGTCGTATTCAATGTGTGAATGGAGAAAAAGTCTTTCAAAAAATTTCATAACTGAGCCTACAAAAATGCGTCGGAATTCACACAAAATATTTCACATAATATCAACATATAGTTTCTCATTTTCAAAATATTTCATTCATTGATTAACAATTTTTTGTACTCAACTATTTATCGGCTAATTTGATTTATCATTGAATCAAACTTAACATTAATGATGTGCAACTTGAGAATACTTTTTTCTATTTGACAATTGATCTCGTCTTAAAGTGTTCACTTAAACTCCAACCATCACTCATATTTCTCACTTCGATTCGTTTTTCAAGTAAAAATAATGTAGATGTACATATTGAATATTGCAAAGCATTATATTGATTTGTAGAATTTTAATTTCAAAATGAGTCGACTTACACCAATATTTTTTTCATTCGTATTGTAAATATATTAAAAACATTTCAATTGTCTATGTATACAATTTAACATTAATTTTTTAGTAATAAAAAAAAAATTCCTCAATTGAGTTTATATTCTTTAAACTTTTCAGTTACTCAACTTTTCAACATAAGTCATCCGAAAATACACGAGGAAAAATTCTACAATAAAATTTGAAAAAATTACCAATAAAAAACAGTTATTTTTGAATAAATCGTCAAATAAACAACGAAAATAAAATTTCGACTGTTTTAGTATAATTATAATATATTTTGTTTACAAATAATCATTATTGATACCTGTTACATGACTGCTCATTAACAAGAATTATTCAACAATTAACAGGTAAATGATGACAAAATATCATAGTAACATTAGTTTTTATAGGTATATCAGTTACATATAATTAAATATTCATAATGAAGTAAATTAAATTAAATGATTCTTGAAAATACATCATTGGTACCGGTCAGTAATTAGGCTTGAGTCTCTATGTGTATACAAGTGATTAGGGAAGTTAGAGATTATGCGCATTGATCTTTTAATGACATTCTTCTAAAATACATGACCATTGTTGAGGATTTTCAAAGCCAAAAGTAGAGTGGCATCAACAAACTAATTCCGAAAGCCATATACTATATACAGTGATACAATCAGTAACGTATAAAGATATTGCCATTAAGTTAAATTGCTCATTACTACAACTATAGCTAAATTGATATTTGAATGACTAAGAAGGTAAAATGCATTTCTATCCTCTTCTTTTTCTCTATCTTCGGTATATCTTGTTTTACTATGAAGGAAATTTACAATTACATTAAGGACATATTCATAATGTCGTTGAGTCGCAGTGTCGATGGCATCTCCTTAGCAATTTGCAGGATTTTTACTTTCTAAGTACTTAAAAATGAGCCGTACAAATAATGCATACATCAACTCCACGATTGACTCCCGATTACCACTAATTATACACAAAGACTTACGTTCATTATTGTGAACTTTTTTTATTGCTTTTTCCTCATTATCATGCATCTTTTGACAATACTTGAAATATATGATCAAGCCAACTTATCGTCAAATTATCAATAGGTGTTTCACTGACTGTCATTTAAAAAGTTAAATTGAAAGTAACGTTACACAATCTTGCGATTGAAAGATAAAAGTTCAAGTAAGAAACTCAAAAATGATATGAATAACAGACATTATGTAAATGTTTAATTACAAAAGTTCCGTAAAGTCATGTTATATACTGTACAACAACAATATTTCGTGCTCATATCAATGAATAGAATAAAATTTTATTTTGACGATAAAGAGATGTAGATATGAGGAAGTAGAATTTTTTAAAAATGTTTTTGTATCGATTTATTGAGGAATAACTAAAAATAAAATTTAATTGAATATTGTTGCATTGAAATATGTTGTTTTTATATAAAATTTAATTTTTAAAAAATTGATTCTGGGAAATCAATCAAAAAACAATTATTTTTTATCAAATTTAATTTATTAACTCTTTAAAGAATTTACAGAAAAATTTTTTAATGATGTAAATATTTGTTTTTGAACAAACCTAATTCTAATATTCGACTTTGTTGTTGATAATTCATTTCTAAATTAATTTTTTTTTTTTCTAAGAATTCGATGAATTAGTTCTAAAAAAAAAGTTCATTCATAAATCGATTTGATTGAATGAACATTGGATGACGTCATTGTTGAAATACATGAACAAAATATCTATTTAACTAAAGTTAAGTTTGTAAATGATCTTGTCAAAAATTTTATTGCCCCTCAACAAAAATATTAGTTACGTAAGATTCTATCATTACTACTACAACAATGTAGTGCTATCTAAAATATCTAGACTTATTTTCAACCTTATTTGGAGCAATAAAAAGAAGGTTACTGAATTTTTGCATAAGATTTATTGCTCTAGAAATACCTCATTTATTACTCACTCATTAATACCTTTGCTCTAATTTGGGAGCATGCGAAATGAGAGCGTCAGAAGAAGTCATCACCTTTTATCTAAACAAAATATCTAATTTTCCGGCAAATAAGATATACGATGATCCATTACCGAAGGATACAGATGCAGAAAAAATATCCCTAGAAGGAATTACGAAATCTTAAGTCTAGAAATAGTGGAGTAGATACAGAGGAAAATAGCGGATGTGCAGGGAAGACAGTGGAGAGTGACGTGGTAAGAAAAGCAGAGGGGTACGGATCTGCAGACAGTTCTCACGTGGGTGGAGAATAGCTGATTTCGTGAGGAAGAAGTTTCTACTGCAGCAAGGGAATAGATGACGGGAAAAGAGAGAACGATAGAGAGTAAAAGAATGAGAGGAAAACGAGAAAGTGGGTGGACGGAAAGGCAGATTTGCTCGAGCCGCGAGAAATAATCGAAAAAAGAGGACATGGTACGAGATATTGAGCTGAGCATAGAAAGAGTAAGACAGAAAACATGAAGAAGAAAAGCGACCGGGAGAGGGAGGAGTGAGAAAAGGCGAACATGAAAGCAAGACAAAGACGCTAAGGTTGGAGTCTAGAGGAAGAAAAGACGACACGTACTTTCTGTAGAGAAGACAAAAAGAAAGAGATGAAGAAAAAACGTCGACATGAAGGGTCGTAGCAAGAAGAGCAGTAGGGAAACGGTTGGACAGGATGACGCTGATCAATCTTTTGGTTTCGAATTTCGCTCACTGGACTAAGAACCGGTTCATTTCATTTCTATATATTTTTTTTGCCAATTTTTTAATCGCTATTTCCTTTTTTTGTCACTTAACTCTCATAATTGAAGTAGAAAAAATGTTCTACTGTTGGACAAGGATGAAAAATATTGATTGCCATGAAGAATTTCATGACTTACATGCCTCCGGCTATTTTCGATACTCATATAAACACTTGTACATGAATTTTGAAAAGCTTTTGAGCATTTGTTATCAAGCATTTTTCATTTAGTGTCATATCTTCGTTGAAGGTAGAACGAACGTGATTTTTGACTCGAGTTGGACATTCATTTTTATTTACTTTTTCTGCATATTTCTCGAAAAATATATCTATCGATTTGTTCATCTGATCGATCATATTAAAAAGTTTTTGGAGGAATTTTTTCTGGCCCACGAAGAAATTTTAGCAAATTCAGAAAGTGGGGGATGCGTCAGGTGATCACAAAGTGAGTCCTTTTTGCACAGTGTCATTGGACGATCTATAGGGATGCGGGTCGAAGTATTGAAAAAATATATCCAATACTAATACAAGCCCTCCTCTAAGGGGCGGTCTTAGGTATTTGTCACTTACAGCAACTACCCCACCTGTACTCATCTGCAAAGGTAGCTCTGCAGATATAAAGGGCATGTACCCCCGCAATGTCTTCAAACAGTGATCTATCATTCACCTGTGCATCGCTTCCTCCAGTGTCAAGTGAAAATTCAGTTCCTGAACAAGTATCCGGACAACAAGTGGACAGTGAACCATCGTGTGTAGACATCAAATCATCTTCAAGTCCAATCAACGAAGAAAAGATGACTTTCACGAACTACGGCAACGTCGACTACGTCGCTCCAAAACGCTCATCCTGTATGTACTCTCCAACAAGCGTCGACTCTAATGGATCAGGATCAAGCTGGAATTATTCTCAACAGAGCAATCCTTCTGCCTTCCAATCTCCAATAGAGCCGAAGTTCAACAATCAGTTCGTTGTGGATCCCATTGAAAATTTGAATCTGCCTGCGTCTGAAATTTTGGATTATCCATGCTACCAAATGCAACTTCAACAACAGCAGCAGTACCTACAGCAACAACAGGGCGCTTGTCAGCAACCAAAACTCGAGAAGATGAAGGGACATAAGAAGTCAGCGATGAAGCAGAAGCTTCAGAAGCATCAAGCCAGCTCTAAGGTTACCACCAATAATAAGAAGATGACAGGAAATATTAAAGCGGAAGTTCGTTACGATGAACATGGTAAATATCTTTTTTTTTTTAATTTTTAATAATCAATAATTTTTTTTTTTTCACTCAACTATTCAAAATGATAGAAATATTTTTATTATAGAAAAAGTCAGTTGTTTTTTTCTGTTTATTGATTGATTATTTGTTTAGAAAAAATATAGTATATTATTAATTTTTTTTTTATTACATTTAACATCTTACAAATAAAATATAAAAATATTACATTTAAAATCTTAAAAATAAAATATCACATTAATTTCTAATCATTATTGTTTATGTTGTTAAAAGGTGTTAATAAAATCAAATACAGACTTTTTCTATAAAGAATGTATTGCTATTATTTTAAATGATCATTTTTTTTTCTGATGCACGGCTTTGTAAAATTGAAATGTGTCTTTAGTATTGAATTTTTTTTCGTAAAAGGACTTAAGATCCTTATTTCGACTGGACTATGAATATAATATTATTAGATTTATCATAATACATCTGAGAATATATTTTTCTTATAAGTCTAAAGATGTAGATTGAAAATAATAATTGTCATTGTCCTTATTGAAAATTTCCTCACTTCACCTAGATAATAACCGGATAAAGTATACATGAATCGCCTAAAGCTAAATTTACCGATAAGTTTGACGGACACGTGGATTTATCGATTTTTGCCTCGGGAAATGATAGTGGAATGTATTTGTATATGTATATTAGATTTTTTTTATCAGTATATGATAGTCTAAATGTATGTCGCAAGATCGATGTATTATTGTTACTAAGCCGTCCATCAATCTGGTTTGTTCAAAGTCCACTAAAATTCTAGCACTAAAATATTTTTGTATCCAATTCTATGTATGTCAATGTTATTATTTCTTTACTATTTTTATGGTTTCGCGGAAAAATAATTTTTTTTTAGTATCACATACAATACAAAATGAGTTTTAGATTTTTTTTTCTCTTAATCAATATTATATCTAGGAAAATTCAAAAATAATTTTTAAATAGCAAAAAAATTACAATTTATTTTCCATGGGGATTTTTCAATTATGATAAATAATTTTTTTAAAATAATAAAACATCTAATAAATTACGTCTATTTATTTTAGGAAATCCTATGGTTTCTGATGTCGTCCAAAAACGGACGCGTACGGCGTACACGAGTGATCAACTCTTCCAGTTGGAGAATGAATTCAATACATCTAGGTATTTAGCCAGACCGAAGCGTATTGAAATGGCACACCTTCTGGGTCTGACAGAACGTCAGATCAAAATATGGTTCCAGAATCGCCGAATGAAATGGAAGAAGGAAGAAGAGGCACGAAAATTGACTAGCGAAAAATCAACAACGGACAAAGTCTCCCAAGAAACTCCAGTCCAAACTCTAGGTGCAGGAGTATCTCCAGCCAACATGAATGGTCAACCGATGCTCCAGCCAGCAGTACAAATGAACAACCAGCACAACGGATATCCTGCTACGTCAGCCAATTCTGCGTACGTTGTAGCACCAAATTACACAGTACCTGCAACGTCTAGGATCTATCAGACTCCAATGCAGCCTGACCCATCTTATCAGGTTTCTTATGGCGTGGGAATTCAAAAACAAGTTGCTCCTCAACAAACCGCTTCCCCGCAAATTAGCCCATCAATAGAGCAACAACAAAAATGGAATTCCTGCTGTTACAGCCCGCCTAACATCACCATTGGACCACATTTCGGCAACCAAAGAAGTGTTCAGTACCCACAACATCAGGTATGGCAGCAATACCCACAAGGACAACAATATCAGTCAGGGGAGCAGCTCAATGCCAATATTTACACAAGCTACGCCAATAACAGTAATTATAATTACTCAAATAACTTAAAAAATGACATCAACAGTAATAATGTTACTAATAATATTAATAATAGTTATGTAAATCAGGCGAATTTTGAAAATACAACTGGAGGTCAAGACTGGACTCTTCCAGTATTAAAAGATGTCGGTGAATGGTTCCAAAATAATATTGAAAACGCCGAAAAATGCGAGGAGCGCATTGATATTAGCGATGTATTGTTAGAAAATTATACAACTTTGTAAATTTTTAAAGTTAATGTTTCATTTGTATAGTAGTTGTTAAATTGCATGAAATTAAGTAAAATAATTTTTTTTTTAAATTATATTCTTTTAACTGTATTTAAAATAACTTATGTATATTTTGTAGAATAATCTAATGTTTGAAAAAAAGTATGTACATATATATTATAAGTATTGTTTATTATTAATTAAAAGAAATTAATTTTAATTTGGTACTTGACTTAGTTTAAATATATTTTTTCAATTTTATAATTAAAAATGCATGCATATCAATCATATTTTCTAAAAATTTATTTTAAATTGAATAAATTTTCTAGAAAAAAAACCAAAACTATGTATTTACAAGTTTGTTTTAAAAAACTATCTATTTTTATATTAATGTATAATTATAGATAGACCAAAGACTTTTGTATATTTTTTAATAATAGGGTATGAAATAAGTAAGATAGCATTAAGTGTAAAATAAAACAGTTTAATATGTTAATAAATTGCAATTATTTCATACAAAATATGAAGTTATCATTCAGAATAAACTCTTCCATGTCATTTAAATGTTAAAAAAAATTCCAACAATTATTAAATTCAATTCAAAACGTGATTTTAAAAAATTTTTAAACTTTTTAGCAATTCTTGCATGCTTCAAAATTTTAAATTCGATTACAATCCAACTTGAATAAATTTCAAAAAATATATTGTTTATATTTTTTAATACAAATATTTTTCAAAATTCTGACAAAAAAGTCTAGAATTTGATGTAAGAAAAACTTCATATTATTTTCTAAATATTTGTGGTTAATCTTTATTAAAAATACTTGCTAATAATTTTTCATTTTAGAAACTAACAATTACAACTTCAAAAGAGTGAATATTTCAAATAAGGCCTTTGTTTATAAATGAATGCCTTTTGGATCGATACACATCCAAAGCAGCGTGGAAATAAAAAACAGGGAGCTGAAAACTTGAGACTTTAAACAGGTAAATAAGCATATTGAATACAGCTCACAAATGCGATACTGGAGTAGGCGGCACGGTATGACGTATACACAAGATTGGGGACTGGATCACGCGAAGAGAGAAGTATAAAATAATCCCTGCTTACTGGTGAAGCAATGCTGAAGGGTGACCTAGGCATCACAGCATTCAGAAGGGCTGCGGGAAAGAACGGAGAAGGGTGGGACAGGTTTCAACCATGATTTCCATTCGCCAGCCATCCATCTTGTTTGAGACTGGAAACTGACAGATAGACGTGGATCCAAGTGGCGGTGATGTGGCAAGTCTTGAGCGTGGATGTAATACGTGCGTGTGGATATAGGTGCACACATATACAACTTCACGCATAAATACAGACACACATCTGTGTATTTTTCGTATGACATGTATGGCGATTTTTTTATACACATTAAAAATTCCTTATTCGACATTGGTTCATTAACTAAATGACATATTTCGATAAAAATACCATCGACATATTGTCTTGTTTTATGATAAAAGTAATTTTAGGGGTAAATATAGATATCTTTTTAATTTTTAGCTTTACATATCAGTTCAAAATGTAGGAGTTAATTATTAAGATCAATATTAGCACTTGTATTTTTTTGATATTGATGGAATTATTATTAAATTCATTATCAAAAATTAGTGTCAACTGGAAAAATATTGCAACTGATCCCTGATAAGGATTTTAATCATCTCCTTTTAATACGATTTTATATTACAGAATGAAACATTTGTTGGAATTAAATTAAAAGTCCTGATAATCGTTATGATTGAATTAATTAATTAGTAATTTTCTCTGTAAATAAATTGAAAAACTTTTTTGTTTACTTTAGCACAGGTACCTACATGGAAAAACAAATAAATATAAAGCTTTTTTTTTCAGGGGAAGAAATACATAACGTTTTAAAAATTACTTTTCTCACAGTTAAAACGCAGAAAAATTGAAATGGTAGGTAAAGAATGAATAAAGATCAAGCAAAACAGCCCCTCGAGGGTTGCACACAACGTGGAAAGTTTTAGAAGTTGCTTTCAAGACTTCAGAATGGTGTGTGGACGGGATGCATGTGAGTAATATTAGGTAGAAACGCATGAACTTTGATATGTTCGAGGACCCACGAACGGTACCATACTGCGGCAAGTATCCAAACTATACGTGACCTGCAACTTTTCAGTTTTTTTCACCCAAGATCTGTGTTTCTTCTCTCACTATTTTTCATCCTTTCTTTACTCCAAAAACTTGAAAATTATCATTTTTCAAAAACTTCTCATCACGACTGCATTCTTTATGATCATATCTAAAAATAAAAAGGTGACTCTATAAAATAATTTTTTACTGTTGCAGAAATAGCTACAGACAACAATCATAGTATTTACTATCTCTCAACATGCGACAAGTAGTAGGTTCTGCCACTGTAAATCCAAGTGCATTCTTATTACACATCTAAACATTTTAAATATGACGTCACCCATTCAATAAACATTGTAGTCACTTTTGATGTGTCTCTAAGTGTGTAAAAAGTGACTACAATATTAATCAAATGGGTGACGTCAAATTTAAAACGTTCAGATGTGTAACAAGAATGCACCTGGATTTACAGTGTGGTTAAGAAGTTCATTTATTTTTTAAATAATTTTCAAAATTGTACTAAATAGAAATTATTAATTGTAAAAAAAAAAATCCAATAAAATTATAAAAATTTTATATTATTAAATCATCTTGCTATTTTGCTTAAAAAAAATTTATGCACCGCATCATATTCTTTCCACCCTTTTCAGATTAAAACCAAAAAAAAAAAAAATGGAAATAACAAAAATTTCCCTCGAAGAATTTTAAAAATACTGATGATATGAACTGCAGCCAAAAGGGTAAGTATATAGTCTTATCGTGGAAGACAGTACGACGAATAAGATGAAAATAAAATAGCGAAGAATCGTTGCTTGGAAAAGAATGAGGGCGCTGTCAGCTGGTAGAAATTATTCTGATTATGCTAATTCCAGTTTTGTTCCACTCCTTTACTCAGTCGTTCCCCTGCTCCATCGTTTCCCTGGTGCTGTCTACGCCATCTTTCATGGGTGATATTTATAATATAGGGGCGACCGAGCAGTTTCAAACTCTTTGTAACCCCCTCTTCACCCACAATCGGTCTGCGACACCCTCACCAAATACTCTGTGTGAGCTCGAGTTTCCTATCGAAAATACTTGATATCGCAACGATGCCGATGAATTTATTCATATTCACTCTGAAAGTCTTCAACATATAGCTCATGTCACTTACATAAACTTTTTCTTTATTCAAACAAATAAAGAATCTACATTATGAGCTCGCATTTACTTTTGAAAAATTTTCATTTTAAAATCATCCGATGAATTTTTCATCTCTAATTTTATTATTATTCAATACTTGTGTCTATCTTCTATTTGTTATTTATTTTATTTTATTCAGCTGATGGTAAAGGATTATTATTTCAATATCACTATCACTGAAAACTCAAGTGTTTGAAGATTAAACATTTAAAGTATTTAATAATTACAAATTAAACATTTAGCCCCAAGTTTCAGCCGATTCGGAGGTGACACCTAAACGAAACTCTACCCCATTTTATTTCTAAATACTGAAATTTTCCTGGATTTGCAATGTACATAGTTGACTAATTAATTAAAATAAATATTAAGCATCAAATATTTGACACTTTGTGAATTTTTTTGACTCATTTTTGTTATAAAACAATAAAGGAAAAATATTAACTTGTTCTGAATATTTTTACGAGTTTTGACAATGTATTTTTCTTACTAAATGATGTAAAAAATAGACAATTATTTTTTTTTAAAAAACAAAACTTGTTCTTTATTAATACATAGTGTTAGAATTTTCTTTTATACTGTTATAAATATTTTCATCGAGAATGTACATTTTACATTGTCGATTTGTGCAGATTTATATGCTTATTTAGTGCTTCACATAATCAATATCATAGTGGTTTACATAGACTTGATACCGTGTAATACCATAAACACTCTGTTCGCGGTCGTGTCAGAGTTACTAATTTACCGATAAGAAACCCTCAGTGGTCTTCTCTCTCCACTTTGCCTTCTCGATACTTATTGACTTCAGTTATCTCAGCAGTAAATGAGGTGTCTTATCGAAAATACGAATAGAAAATTCAGCAATATACCCAAGCTGCTGACTAAATTCCATTTGTTCAGTAGCCAAAATGTTTTTTCACCATATCGACATTATAAAAAATTTACTTCTTACTAAACTACTAATATTCCTCCCTAATATTGATAACATCTTTTTTGCATCAATTATTCTCAATTTTTGTTATCTTTAATTAATTAGAAAGTTTAAAAAAATATATTGAAGTAGTGTTGAAATGTATTTTTAACTTTTGTTTCTTTTTTATTTTGTATATTTAGAGTATTATCTATAATTAATTGATTACAAAATAGTCGTTAAAAATAATATTTACTGTATAACGAATGACGTCAGTAAAAGGGGACATAGTTGACAGGTAGTCATCACAGATAAAGTGACATATGGGTTTAGATATTTTTTATTTTCCAACTAAATGGTTTTTAAATTTTAATCATGATCAGAACTCATTTTTTTTTTTATTAAAAAAAAACAATCATTATTTAACATTCTATATATTTTTAATACTTGATGGAAACTCCAATCCTTCCAATTTCTTTATACCAAACGGCTTACAAATACCACACAAATTTAGAAACATTTTTATTCCTATAAGTCTATCTCCTATGAAATTTTTCAACAGAGTTTTCTGTACTTTTCCCTATCTATGAAATAATAAATTCAAGATTGTTTTTCGATAGGATGAATTTAGTTGAAGTGGTCTTAAGACTATATAGGGTTCCACCGCGTAAAGGGATCTAGAGTAATATTCCAGTAAAATCATCAATTGATCTATCGACTGTGCAGTAGGAGAAAAATGTAGAAGTTGGGGTAGAAAAAAACGACACGGAAACGAATTCAGGCGAACATTAG